TCTGATGAGGGCCCATGTGTTTATCTGAGCCTGATGGTCCCCCAGAAATGAAGGCAATTCACATTGTGTCCCTTTTCTACAGAAGAGGACACTAAAGCTGAGGGACTGGCCAGAGCAGGATGGAAGGCTGACCTCAGGGCCTCCCACATCCCACTGTGGGGCAGCAGTTTATGTCCAGCAGGGTGGGAAGGCCTATTTCTGCCCAGGACTATGGTGTTCTAAGTCATCACATCCCTCGTGTCCCGTTTCCTATCAATGCTAATCCCCTGGCTGCCTGGAGGGTCCTCCCCACAGACCACAACTCCAGCCTCGCGAACAGGGCGGCTGGAAGTTTCTGAGGATTAAATACAGTGGTGGAAAATTATAACCTCTTAGTCCAGAATATCCCAGGCCTACAAGGAGCCAAGTCCATTTTGGAATGTGCTGGAGGGTTCCAGCCCTGGATGGTTGGGAAGAGGAAGTTAATGTGCTCTGACTTGTTTTTCTCATTTCTCCCTCCCGTCCCTACTCCTCCCTTCTCACAAGATGTTTTTCTTTCATTACTGCAGTAATTGAACTGAAAGCGGAGGATCGAAGCAAGTTTTTGGACGCGCTCGTTTCCCTCCTGTCCTGAGGGTGAGTGTGGGGGCTTTCCCTGCCACAAAGCCAGTGCTGCTAACGGCCCCTCCTGATTCCTGCTGTGGTTTCTCTGCTCTTGCCTCCTCAGGCTAGGCTTCCACTTGGGTTTCACACCATAGCAGGGCTCCTGAGATTTGGGGCCAACACATTTCTCCCAAGAATGTCTGTCTCTGTGCTGGCGGCAGTGCCCACAATGGGGTGTTTTGGGGAGCTAATTGCATTAAGTTCCTGAGACCCCTTCAGAAACAGCCAGCATTTGCCCTCTTCTCAACCACACTGTGGGCTGGGCAACAGCCAGGAACACCCTGGCCTGGCACTGCGGGGAATGAGGGTGCCCCTAGGGGGCCACCTGGAACTTCGTTACCCCTCCAGCCTGGCTTCAGGCCCTGGGCTGGAGCCTAGAAGGACCTCTATTCAGGCTCTTGTGTGCTTGACTTTTGAGAAAGTAAAGCTTTTGTCAGCCATTCAGCTGGGAGTTATAAAATGTCCGCTCTAGGCGGGCCTGCACCAGCAAGTGGCTGTAACTGACAGGCTCCTGGGGAAACGGGCCACCGCTGACCAGGTCAGGGGGCTCCTGTGTGTCTTGTGACCACTTCTCAGCATAGGGCCCCCCACACAGTGGATGCCCACATCCAGTCCTGCATCTCTCTGAGCCTGGGCTGGGGCTGCTGCTGTGGCGGATAGGCCTGCCAAGGCTCTGATGTAGGGGATGCCCTCATGCTGGCCCAGGGTCCTCCTGTTCTGTCCATGATAAGCTGGAAACTGAGAGCAGATGCCCTTTCCCTGCTGGGGCCCAGTGGGCTCTTCAGAGAATGGCATCGGGAGCCCTGGCTGGTTTGGCCTGCAGACCGAAGGGTCATGGGTTTGATTCCCAGTCAAGGGCACGTACCCGGGTTGCAGGTTCGATCCCCAGCCCCAGTCAGTGTTGTGTGGGAGGCAACCAATTGATGTGAAATGTTTCTCTTTCTCTCTCTCCCCTCCTTCCACTCTTCTAAAAAAGGAGAATGGCATAGGGAGCCTAAGGGACCCCACAGTCCGTCTCTCGGGTTGGGCTGGAGTATACAGATTCCGTTTTGGGGAGGGGTTCTGGGATCAGATCCTTAGGGTTTTTAGCATGGTCTGTTGGGTACCTTACCTGTTTTCTCACCTGAAATGGGGCTGCTACCCCTCAGACAAGTGCTGAGCCTCAGTGCAGGGCCTTAGGGTGGGGGTGGAGGTGTGAATTTATTACCCATTCAGAGGATACAAGTGGGGCTCTTGGGCAGTGAGGCTGACATTTGAGGCAGCCTTTCCCCTGTCATCTGCTCAGTGATGATGCCAGTGCAGCTGTGTGTCCTGCCACCAGGATGGGGTACAGGGTGGGTCAGCCAGAAAGGGTGAGGAGCAGTGTGCTGGGGGTGGCAAGGAGATGCTCCAAGTAAGGAGAGGGTCACCAAGGGACTGAGGCTGTGAACAAGCCACTAGGTAGGGTCTGCAAGGTAAGAAGGTGCTGGGGTTCCATAAGGCCTTCAGGGGTTCTCAAGCAGATAACAACCTGGACCTGGACCAGGGGGCTACAGTGAGGATGACAGGGTCAGGCACCTTGGTAGTTCTGAGGTGGTCCTCACCCTGTGAGTGGTGGCTACTTGAAGTAGCAGCCTGGCATGTCAGAGGAAAGGCCCAGGCAATGTGTTTACTTTGGGGGAGAAGTAAGAATTGTTTGAAATTTATTTCTTTTTCTTTTTCAGAGTTGGATATCTTCAGACATGACCTCCTTCTCCTTATTTATATTAATAAGGCTTTTATTTAGATCGTAAGTTATGGACATAGTTTTAAATGCAGGGACAGTGATTTTTAATGGAATAAAATGCTTATTTTAGGTTTGGTACTCCAACCTTTGCTCCAGTCACAGGATAAGCATTTAGTTGTGCCCTGGGGCTTCTGTGGGTTCATAGGAGCCTTGATCCTGTGCCCTGGACGCCTCAGACCCAGCAGGAAATCAGCACAGGTGGGAATTGGGATGGCAGTGGGAGGGGCTGGGCCCCTGAGCACCTGGGCGTCTACACAGCACCTGCACTGATCACTGCTCAGTGATGCCAGCCAGAACCTGGCTCTGTCCACCCTCCCACCACTTCTTCTTGGCCTTGGCAGCATCCCAAGTTCACCCTCTTAACCATGCCCCACTTCCAGGATCAACTCTGCCCCCCCCCAAGGACTGTCATCTTACCCTTCAGCACCTATCTGTCCATGCACCACCAGCTCCACAGGCACACAGTGAGGCCCCAAGCCAGGAAGGATGGGGCTGGCTGAGGGGCTCTCAATAGACACGATACCCCCAAGTTCAGCTTCATTCAAACCTTTGTCACAGAATACCTGAGCTGGACAAGACCTCGGTTACCTCCTGTCTTCAGAACAGCAAGAGTCCTCAGGGAGCCATGGGATCAGCTGGTCCCACTCTCCCAGGTGTCCCTGGAGCATGATCTGGAGGCAAGGATGCTCTCTGCTCCCATCTATTCCTGCTCTTTGGGAGTTCTTTTGGGTACCTCACCTGTTTCAGGGGAGGAGAGAGCTATTCATACAAGTGGCTGTGCTTGTCTGTGGCTACCACCTGGAGCTTGGGTGCCAGGGAAGCAAGCAGGCTGGAGGGACATGGCCACCTGGATGCAGTGCCTGGGGCCTGGGGCAGGTGGAGGCAGAGTGATTTGAGCAGGCTGTAAATTGGAGGGGAAAGCCTAGAAAGGGTGACCTGAAACTGAGGATGTGGGTGGGTGTGGCTAGTTCACAAGGCAGTCCTTGGGAAAGGAATAATGGGCCCAGTGAGATTGGCTGCAGTGGTGGCCAGCTTCTCTCTCCTGACCTTGGGCAGAGGAGTCTGCCCCTGCTCTTGGCATGGGTCAGGTGGCAGCAGCCTGGCTCTCCAGGGCTCACCCTCAAGCTGCCCACCCTGGCTGTTTGCAAAAGTTGGGTCTGTGCAGCTGCCTTCAGAACCCTAGCTCATGGCCTGGGGCCTGAAAAAGTTGGAGAGCTATGGGCTTGTGTGGGATTTAGACTGCTTCTGCCCAAATACCTGGTAGCCAGCATTAGCTGGCCCAGTAGCAACAGTGCAAGGAACAAGGTGACAGACTCCCTCACTCAGGAGCTGTTTTTGGTCCTTGCTGCACAGGCCAGGTGGGGGTGCCATGGGAGTGCTGCTGAGGTCCTTTGTATTGTGGGACCCATCCAGCTGCAACTTGTCCCATTGTTGGGAGCTCAGGCCACCAGATGTTTCAGCCTCCCTGGAAATTCCACTCACTGGCTATGCTGTGGTCACTCTTGCTCCCTCCCCCCCTGACCAAGCCCGGGAGACTCCTTGTCGCTGGACATGACCCAGGCATTTCTGGACAGGGTCCCTGAGGCCAGGGTTGGGGGAAGATGCCAAGCCTTCCTGCTGGCCAGGCTGAGAACACCTCCCTTGCTTCCATCCACTGCTCTCTTCTGTCCTAGCCTTTGGCAGAAGGTAAAAATGCATTAATTTCAAGTGCCTAGAAGAAGGCTGAAAGCAATACGTTCTTGGTTGCTGTAACAGCTCTGGTTCGCTCTGCTGTCCTGGGACCCACCCCCATCCCCAGGTGCCTAACCAGTACCAGCATGGCTCCCAGGGGTCCCACCTACAGGATCATACAGGGTGTTCCCAGCAGGTGCCAGTGGTTGGCACAAGTCTGGGATGGTCATCAGATTGAGCACTGCCAAACAGAAGACTGGCAGAAGAGCCAGGACAGAGCGGTTGGAGCTGAACCTGGGTTCTCCAGGCAGCTGGCCATGGGTCCTCCGCCCCATGGAAACGTGCTTGTCGACCTGTAGCTACCTCTGCTGGAGCCCAACACACATCCTGGATTCCCCCTGTTCCCACTGCGCTGTTAGCAGGAAGGGCCCAGTGGTGTGGTACAGATGTCTGAGACCATTTAATGTGACCCAGAGATAGGCAAACCCTGAGAGGGCAGGTGGAAAACACCCACCCTGTGGAGCCCAGCCTCTTCTAAGCAAAACCTGCAGCCTGGCAGCCCACCCTCAGTACTTCCTCCATCCCAAGCCTACCATTCACTGGCTTTTGTGTGTGTGTTGGGTTTGGGGGGGGGGGGTCCAACTTACATCCTCTGCTGGCGTCTCCACCCTCTCTTTCCCAGGCCCCATGACTCCAGAGGCTTCCTGGGTTATGAGCTGTGGCTGTTTCCTACCCAGTAGGAAGGTGGTCGGGTGGCAAAGAGCCAAGAAAGGGCTGTGGGTGGGATCTTATGGACTCCAGAGCCAGCTGTGGGAGGTCCCCACAGGAGCCTCAGGGAGGAGTCCTTGGGTGGGTGGATGAATGGGGGCTGCTGGGCATAGGTGGTGACTGGACAGACAACAGAACACAGGTGGGAGGGTATTCAAACCATTTACTAAACAAATTCTTACCCTCCTCCAAACTTCAAAGGAGGGCTGGGCCCCAGCCCCACACCCGATCTCTTGCGCTTGGGGAGTTGCTGGGTTGAGGGAAGGAGGTCCAGACCAAGTCTCTTGATCCCCCTGGGCTCAGGCCCTGCTGATGGGGTAAAGGCCAGCTGTACACACATCCTTCATGCAGCCAGGCCAGGGGCCCCGGATCCTCAGTCTGCCCCTCTGGAATCAGCAGAAGCCACTGGAAAGTACAGTAGCCTCCAAGACCACAAGGGACGGGGAGAGAAGTGGCATCGTTAGTCCAGTGCCCACATGGCCTAGGAACCCGCGCCCTGCACTTCAGAAAAAGAAACCGAGCAAGTCCTCCCGAGTGCGTGCTGCCTGTTCAGGGCAGGGCACCGCCCAGGGCCCAGCGAGTGGCGGTCAAAGTGGACGGACTGCGGAGCTCCCCAGCCAGTCCTTCGGCTAGTGAGCGCGGCTGGCTCGAGGGGCCCTTCCGTGTCTGACGCCCTCAGACGTAGTTTTTCTTGTCGTAGTCGCCGCCGGCCGCGGGCCTCCGCGGCGCGGAGTACTTGACCGGGAAGCTGAGGTCCGGGCGGCCGGCGTAGACCCAGGCGCCGCAGCACATGAGGCCACCGCCGCACATGAGCAGCGCCGAGGCTGCCCAGCCAATGTACAGCGCCGCGCCCAGTTCGTACTTGTTCGACACCGGCACAGTCGGATCGTAGAATTCGCGGACCACGATGTTGGCGAACCAGCAGAGCGGCACGAGCGCCAGCAGCCCGCAGAATGCATAGAGCGCGCCGCCCGTGAGAGCCACCCGTGCCTTGATGGGACCCGGGGCCACGCAGGTGGTGCACTGCGCGCCCGCCAGGGCCAGGCAGAGCGCCACAAGTGCCAGCAGTGCAGCGCCCACGGTGAGCGCCCGCGCCGCCTGCACCTCGGTGCTCAGCGCCAGCACGGAGTCATACACCTTGCATTGCATGTGCCCCGTGCTCTGCACCACGCACGACATCCACAGCCCCTTCCAGGTGGTCTGCGCCGTCACGATGTTGTGGTCCAGGAAAGCGGTCACCTGCCACATGGGCAGCCCGCACGCCAGGATCAGGCCCACCCAGCCTATCAGGCACAGCACCAGGCCGAGGATCTCCAGCGCCGCCGACCCCATGGTTGGAGGTGAGACGCGCGCCCGACAGCCCCGGGACCTCCGCGGGGGGCGCGGCGGTGCCTTGGCCGAGCAGGTCGGCGCCCTGCGTGGACCCTGCTACGTTTGCGCCTCTGCGGCTGGCTCACTGCCCTCTGTCGGCTCGCTCCACCAGCCTGCAGCACAACTTCGCGTCTGCCAGGATGTCCCGGGATCCATCCCATTTGAAGGTTCGGGGGGCGGACTCGGGCCCGGCCTCCCGGCCGGCGCAGCCAATTCGTGTGCGAGCCATCGGCCCTCAGCCAATCATGACGCCCCCCACCAGCAGGTAGAAAAATAACTGCGCGTGGGGATAACGGAGAGCGTCCGAACTGGTCCCCGTGGGGTCGCCACCCCCAAACCCCACCGCTGTTGTCTAGTTGAGACCGAGCACATTTCAGGTTGGCCTGGGGCAGCTGCGCGTGCGCGCGCTCGCTCCTCTGGCCACCTCGTTGCAGGTCCCTGCCTCGCTATTTCAGGAGCTACGTGATTCCCAACTTCCCCGCCACTTCCTGGAACAAGCCTGAAGGTCCCTACTCCCAGGCCAGCTCCACTCTTTCCTGGTCAAAGTCTGAAGGAGTCCCCCCATCACCACCGCGCAGAGGTCTGCATAGGGGACTTTCATGGCCTCTTCTGGGTTAGCCAAGCACAGCTCGGCATATTCCTCCAGGAAGCTCGCCCTGGAGTCTAAACCCAACCCAGACCCCTTCACCACATCCTTACTGTGCGGTGCTTTGACGCTCTTTCCCACGGGCTGAGAGGCCAGGTCGGATTGTGTGAGTCCGGCTGGCCTCCTGCCTCTTCCAAGGACCTGGCCAGTGCCACTGCCCACGCGATCACTGCCCACGCTATCACTGCCTCCAGGCCCCAGAACGAAGCAGGAGGCACAGGCATGGTCTCTCGGGAGACCCCCTACTCTGCCCCTGTCGCAGAGACTTCGCATGGACCGTTGCTCTTCCTGAAATGCTGCCCGTCCCCCATCTTGGGAGGCCCGGCTAAGGCGACACCACTTCAGGAAGTCCCCAGTGTTCCCCAATGACCCAGCATACAGAGTTGTACTGCCAGGAGCTGCCGGTGGTCCAGGCTCCAAGGCCTACTCTGGCCCTCAGTCAGGAGAGACATAAAGGCACAGAGGGGCTGTGCTCTGCCCTCCCACCAGCGGTAACACTGGCACCCAACCCCCAGACTGCCCTCCGGAAGCCAACTTGGAGTTTCCTGGCCGGGAGGAAGAGCCTCCATCCTCGTTAGAGGAGGGAGGTGCGGGATTTCCGGGCATTCTTCTGCACAATGGCCCAGCACTTTCTCGAAAGGCTCACCAGGATGAACACTAGGGCCCCCCTGAGGCTCAGGTGGGGCACCAGGCCCTGCAGTGCACAACCCCATGGGGGCACCAGCCCCTTTCTGGCAGCCCCCTCACACTCCCCACTCCCTGTCAGCCCTTTGTCTCCAGTAAAGTCCACTCTGTCCTGGCCTGGGGCCCCTGGCACCCCTGTGCTTTAATGGTCTGTGGTGCTTGGCTCTGCTAGACAGGGCCCCACGGAGAAGACCTGGTGTGGAGGCCAGCCACAACCTGGGAGCTTTGACAAAGCTGTCACTCCTGGGCCCTGGTTCCTTTTCTTTCCTCAGGTGGCTCTGAGATAAGGCCAGTACCTTGTTCCTCCAGCATGGGGAGATGAGGCAATTCGCTGGGCCCTGTGGGCAGGGGTGGGAGGTGGAGGGAAGTTTTACCTCCTTCCTTACCCCCACCTCACCTCCCTGTACCAAGAACCACTGCTTCCTCCCAGCTACCACATCACACTGACTGTCACCCTCCTGCTGCAAACCGTGGGCCATTCCCCCTCCACCCTGCAGATCCTCCTGGACATCCCCTCTCTCATCCACTCCAGGGGCCCAGCTATACTTACTTCCTACCCCACCCTCTCAATCCTGCTTCCCCCAGGCCAAGTCCAGGGACCTTGTCCAGGGTCCCCAACCACATTCCACACTGCCTTCTTCCAAGGATAACCTCCCTGGCCTCGGACTGCCTGGACCCCACCTTTATCCACTGACTATTCTTCTCAGGGCAGCTGGGCTATCCCATCAGGCCCCTCCCCTGGCTCACATTCTGCCTAAAACCCTCCATAGTTTTCACTGCCCATGGACAAAGTGCTGACTAGTGGGAATGGCCTAGGATGACGTGTACCTGGCTACATTGGGCCTGGTCAGTCCAGCAGCACACACTCCATGCTCCACCCAGACTTGCCTCCCTCTGGGCCCTCAGGCTGGTCTGTCTTTCACCCACAGCCTCTTCTGCCGTCAGTGCTTGTCTCTTGGCTTGGAGCCTGCTCATCTTCTACATTGTGTTGCCAAGGCCACTTCCTCTCAGAGGCCTTTCTGTCTGGTCTCCTAGCCTTGCTCGCAGAGGCCCAAGCTGGAACTGTCCATCCTCTTGTCGGTTTTTCCTACTAGTATCCAGGAATGAATTTCAACCAAGTGGCCATCTTCATGCATCTGTACCAGGCAGGGGCCTGCCTGCTGCCCCTCTAGCCAGCTTGGGGTACAGCTGCATGAGGCTCTCCCCCTTCACCTGCCCACTTGCCTCCCTCTCTCTACCACTTTGGGGCCCATCCTGGGGCCCACCTCCAGCCTGGAACCCCATGGTGCCCCCAGCAATCCCATGATTCTTTGGGACAGCCCCATAGTATCTTGGGGACAACAGTATCTTGAGGGTATCAGGTTCCATCTATCACAATCTGATTTCTACCTCAACACCACTGTATTGGTTGTGGCCCTGGCCCACAGTGAAACCAGAGCCACCACAGAGAGGCCCAGCCCATACCAGGGGTGGGATGGGGAGGCATGAAGACAGCCCACGCTTCCTACCACTCAGGAGGATCTCCTGACCACTTATTGTATGCTGAGCACATTATCTACTGGAGCACAACCCAGGGAGCTCCCACCGTCAACCAGTAACTGGATAAGGCCCTTTCAGGTGTGTCTGTGGCCTGGGGAAAGAGGCAGCAGGATGGGACAGAGTGATGGTCTCTCTGAGGAGCTGACAGCTCAGCCAGAATCCAGGGAAGAAGTTCAAGCAAGAGCCCAGAGGTAGGAAGGGGTGGAGCCCCAAGGAGCAGAAGGAGGCCGGCTGGCTGGGGCCACATGGGTGGGCAAGGGCCTGAGTTCAGAGGGGTTCTGGGCCAGGGCAGGGTCATCAATCCCTGATCTGTGGCAAGGGGCTCACACCAACCAAGGCCACCTGCTCATCTATAGCCATTGTTCTCTTTCCCATAGGAAGTGTAGCAGGATCTCATTAATTGTGTGAAAGAAAGGCCCGAGTCAGCAGAAAAGCAAAATTATCTTAAGCAGCTGCTGACTGACCCCAAGCCAGGGTTATCCGGTGACCTTCCAAGGACAATCTAAATTTAGACTCCAGAATCCTTAGGGTTGGCATTTGGGAAGCTCCTAGTTAGGGAATTTTATTTCAGGGGAAGGGAAAAACATGTCTTCTGTCTTGTGGTTTTGAAATAGTTAAGGACGTTTTCCTCCAATGCAGCAGATGTTTCTTGGAACAAGACAGTGCTTTACAAGGCAGCTCTGGTTCCGGGTGTCACCCGGCCCTGCCTTGCAGACCTCAGGCACTCTGTGTGGGAGGGGTATCACCAGCACTCTTGCACAGAACACCTTTTGGCAAACAGCCAGTGAGTTCATAATTCAGCTAGTGAGTTGGCCTCTCCTTGCCTGAGTTTTACCATTGGTTACGAAGTCCTCCATGGGGGAGGCTGCAAAGTGGGACGGGATGCTATCTTTGATCCTGGGTCCGCTGCTGCCATTCCTGAGTGCCCTCCAGGTTCCTGAGACATCCTTCCTGGCTCCCTTGACTTTCACAACTCACCTGACTTCAGTCCCATCCCTGGCAGCAGGCACCACGGCTGTTTGGCAGATTGGAGGGCGTTGTGGCTTTGGTTGACAGGGGAGGCAAGGAGGCAGGGAGCTCTGTTTGACAGAGCCCAGGGTGCTGTAGACCCCTGTGCCTTCACAGCTGCACCAAATGGTGGTCTCTGTTGGTCTAGTCCCCACCCCAGGAGTCTGGGGGAGACTACCCAAGGCTCTGTGAAATAGTGGCAGTGCCCTCACTGCCCTCCACCCTTCACCCCCTGTGCCTGCACTGCCTCTTGGCCTCTCCCAACCTTTTCCTTCTCAGATTTCTTCCTTCTCTGCACTTTGCAACAAGTTTGTATTCTTTCCACTTAAAATCATACAGTGATTCTGGATCCTCTTTCATTTAGCATCATATTGTAAACATGTCCCTACTTTGTTAAAAAACATCCTCTTGATTATTGTTGTTTCTAACTGCCTGTAAGATGGCTTGGGAGTTGGACAGAGCCAGGATGGAACTGTCTATTTCCATCACTCCTGGGGAGGGGCTGGGCATGGCCAGGGCAATCTGCTCTCAGGTTCTGTAGAATGGGGATACTAATGGGCTCGACATCAAAGGGTTGTCAAGGGGCTGTGTGGACAGAACTTTGTGGCTCAAGGTGGACACTGGATTGAAATTGATGATCATGTTGGTTATGCAACCATCCCTCAAGACAGTTTTATAAGTGACAATTTTTTTATTGTAAATAATGCTGCTATGAATGTCATTATTCATAAGCTTTGGTATTTTGGATGATTTCCTCAGGAATAATTCCTTGAAGTAAAATTTCGGGCTCACACCCAGGCGGTTGCATCACCTAGACCCCTTATCTGAATATGTTTTCACTTCCTGTCACCAGCGATGGGTATTCGCAGTTTTAAAAGTTTACTAATTGGTCCTGGCCGGGTTTGGCTCAGCAGTTAGAGCACTGGCTTGAGGACCCAAGGATCGTGGGTTCAATGCCCAGTCAAGGGCATGTACCTGGGTTGCAGGTTTGATCTCTAACCCAGATTAGGTTTGTGCAGGAGGCAACCAATTGATATCTCTGTCTCTCTCTCCCTCCCTTCCACTCCATCTAAAAAAAATCAATGAAAAAATGTCCTTGGGTGAGGAGTAACAAAATAATAATAATGATAATGATAATAAACTTTACAAAATAAAAGTTTAGAGTCTTTCTAACTCACTAATAGCAGATGAAAAATAAATAAATAAATAAATAAAAGTGTATTAATTGGATAGGTAGAT